TACATTATCAACATTACTTTAATTTTCTTATCTAAAACTCTTTGTCTCAAAATTATAATTTAAATAATGTTCAACAGACTTACTTTCATTTCCGAAGTCCTCTTCTGTTAGCTTCTAACATTCCATCTATTATTTGATTGTCCAACCTTTGTAATTCTTCAATTCCCCCCCTCCTGTAAAATCTGAAATTTTGCTAGAAATTCGATGACATCATAGGGTTCCTCTTTGTTGATGTCTTCATATATCTCATTAATAATCCTCGTGAATGAACCTCTTGCCACTTTCCTCCATCTGATGATCTTTTCCGTGTTTACAAATAATGCCTTGTCACTAGAAAGCCATATGTTATGGAAACACTACAGTTATTTACTTTTGTTAAAACAAACTCAACTGATTCATGCTATGAGGCAAGAAAAAATACTCTTCAAAAGAGTAATAAAAACAAATTTATTTACAGAGAACGCAGGTTCCTTACTAGTTGCACTTTTACAAACTGCTATCTTACAAGAGAACACACTGTTACTAATCCACTACAGCTAAGTATTTGCATCAATACCCAATGAGAAAACAGTTCTAGTGGTGCCTGAAAGCTTTGAACTTAACTGTTGAGCTGCAGGCTTCTTGTTACTCACAGATATCAATCTTCAGAAGCAAGTTTTATTCATTTACAACCTTCTCCAGACCCCCTTACAACAGCTCCAAAATTCTAAAATTGTTTCCATAGCATAGAGACTGTACGTCTTGAAATATTCACGCATCTCACTGCTACTGTGATTATCTGCACTGCTTGTAGATGGCCAATGAATTGCCATTTCAGATTCTTTTAAATTATATTTTGAAGCCGTAACAAGTCATTTCGAGTTATTGTACACTAAAATCAAATGTATAACAAATAAATGTTCACTTTGCATAAAGCACTTGATTCACACTCAGCTGATGTAATGTTTTGACTTGCATATCACAAACCATTCAAACACTTTTAATTGGATAACATTAATTAGACTTGCTTCTGCAAAAATGAATTACATCGATTATGTATTTCATGAAATATTATTACTTTTGGGTATATAAAGATAAATTTGGACATGAGTGTATTTTATGTCTATGTTTTATATGAAATTCTGTTCTTACAGAAAAACTTTTCATTTTTGATCAATTCCATTTCCAACTGTTAAACAGCTGCTGGTGGAAGTGGACTAGCTATGAGACATCTATCCAGGGCACACATGTTCCATTTAAATAAAGCAATTACCAATTTATTCAAACTGTATCCTTCAGTTTCCAACAACAAAGAAACAACTGCACTGCAATACAGCATCACATTACGATTCATAAACTTTGGGTTAAATAGGTATCTCACTCAACTAGCACCTTACACATTTGTCCGCCATAATGCTTGCCACTTCAGTTACCACAAGTTTCAGTAATGCATATAAGGCAATACCATTTCACAGTAGCTTACCAAAATTAACTGACATTCTCAACCATTACAGATGCTGAATCTACTTTTATTGGTAAAAATATATTAACATCATTGAAAACCTGTGGGCAACCCGATAAGCCAAATGTGGCTCCTGAATACATTTCAATTACATTTTTGCTGGAAATATCATGCTTGTAATTTTAAAGACTAAAGATATGGACTGATCTTATGTGTATGACTGCTACTCAAGGAAAAGAAAATTGAATGACTGGCTTGAGTTTTGTCTTTTTTGTGCTTGTATGTCAGGCTATGTGAGTGCGATTTATCATTTCTTGTTAACTTAAGCGGCCATTTAAATATTCTCAGTAAAATGCTGCAAGGGAAGAATAAACTTATCACTGACATACATACCTGTATTAAAGCTTTTAACAGTTAAATTGCAATTATGGGATGACAACTAGAATTGAAAAATTTCACAAAGATTTTAATGGTTTGAAGTCAGATTTTATATTACTTTCATCACCATTAAAAAATGAACAACACATAAAAAGTATACCGATATAAATCTTATTCAAAAGCTTTGAAGATACAAATCTGATTAATTTTTATTCATAACTGTAAAAGAAAAATAATTCTCAGTTAATAAATTAGAATAGTCAATTTGTTAGGGAGTACCTTTACGTGTGAACAGATTTTTTTCACAGTTAAAAACTGAGAAAATAGGTCATTATTTATTCATATTCTCAGGTTTTGTATGTAAACTTCAAAATGTTTTAATAATTCATTTATTTTTATTTCAAGTGAAAAGCAAGTTAATTAATGGTTAGTTCAATAATACATTACAATTACTTGAAATAAATATTAATTCCCAAATTTAATATTCAGCGCTCATTAGATTTGACACGTGTAGCCAACAGAAATTTCTTGCATGTAACAAACATTGGATTCAGGCAGAATATAAATATATATATTTTCCCCTTTGTGCTATTACTATTGTTTATGAATGTTTCGATTAATGCTTAGCAAGTGAAATTCAAAACTTGAAACTCAAATTTGTTTTTATTCTCCAAAAATTTTATTAAAAAATCTAGTCTGGCAGCTGCTTTCAAATTGGGCATTGAGCTCATATGCAATTCAAGTTTGAAACAGTTGTTCTGTATGGTATAGGCTATAGATGGCTGCACCTAAGCACCCTTTACAAATAAACAACATAGTGTTACACATCTTATCAGGATTTGGAAATGCATCACTTTGTGTGGTAATACAACTATTTTGGACAAGAAGAATCCTCATATGGAGAAAACCACAAGAAGCTACCAGTTCTCTGTATCAGTAAGGGACAGTACATACTAGTTGGGGCTCTATAATAATAAGAACTGGTATTTGATGAGACCCTTCATGCACCTACACACATCTCTGACAAATGAATGCTGTTCATGTGCATTCTTTTTTACAAGTTCTGATCATTCTTATGGCTTAGACCTCTTTCAATAAGAGAAAAAAAAATGTGAGTTTGTGAACTTGTCATGGCCTCTTAATTCGCCAGATTTCAAGGTCACTAAACAGATATGAAATGCCATACAATATGCTGTGGAGCAGATTTCCAAAACCTTAAATTACAACAGAATTGTGAATTATTCAGCGGGAAAATGCTAACAAAATATACACCCATTGTATTTCTGCAATGCCATGCTCCCGGGGGGGGGGGAACATAGCAAATATTAGACAACTGTACTTTTTAGGGGAAGGAGGAGCACAAAGAAGTTTAGCTAATAACTAATCCTTTAACTAACAGCACTATCCCTACATTCTTTGCATCACTGTAGTGGAGATACCAATGCAAATGTGTTAAATGAATACATTATGCTGGTTATCTTCATGCAGTTATCTGCCCACAACACCCCAGCCAGCAGTCAAGGGACTACAATCATGACACACCAGTTTTCGAATTGAAATAAGCTGACTAGGCTCCCACATGTTTAATGTAAATCCATTTATGCAGAATGACAACATTATATTTCACATTGATAACACGTCTCATCAGTGTCCTGAAAAACGGCATTATTAATAATAATGTATCGCCAGCATTCTTCATAATCTCAATCTGAATGAAATAACTCAGAAACATTGACTGAAGAAAGACTAAGACTTACTCTGTAACTATGACAACATATTACTCAGTAACAGTGCTGCTACCTTAAGTACAACTGGAGCACCTACACTGGTTGATCAGTGGAAGAGTAGGAATTACTTCGCCAAAAAACTAATTAATGGCTTCATGAACAGCTTGATCCATGGAACATCTGTTTGCTTAAATGATTATAACAAAGTATGCAAGAACTACTTGTCAAAGGGAAGGTATGTCTTCATGGAAGACTTTAAATAAAAACTGACTTATATTCATATTTTGCAGATTCAGTATATGAGTTATTTATATCGTATTATCAAATCCTTGACGTGAGTTGCCAAAGACAATCCACTATTGCCTTAAACGTCAACTAAATCTTAATGTGCCAGTTTGTTCTATAATCCTGCATTAGTGTTTTCAGATTTTAATTACATGTAATAGTAATATTCTTATTTTACATAATATTTTTTGCAACATACTTTTTAAATACTTCCTAAATTAATTGAGGTAATTCCTCTTTTATATATTTTTATTTTTCAAGTTTCAATTTAAATCCAATATGAAAATTTCTTAAGAGGTCCACTTTTATTATACTTGACATGATTTTAAGAATAATAGTTATGAATTTCACTTGTAATGTGTTATTATTCAGTAATAAGCTGCTTTAATTCATAGCATGCAAATTTTTACATATGTAGACAGTGAATTTAATCAGCTTTCCTAGTTTATTCGTAAATTTTAAGCACATCATTTCAGCAAATGCTAACTTGGCAAAAGAGAATGACCTTACATGTGAACATAGACGTTGATTCAAAGCCAATGATATAGCTTCAAGGAATAATATAAAAGATTTGATGAATTTTTCAATTAAAAATGTATTTTATTCTTGTTAATGACTGCTTTACAATATCTTGTGTGCTGTCTCTTGCATGAAAATTTTGCACTTCTTTCAAAGTTTCCTAAATAAACCATGTAATTCTTTTTTTTTAATTAATGTTTTCCACATTTAAATTTAAATCCGATAAGCAAAAAGTCTATTTAGATACCCATTTTATGATATGAAATATGATCCCATGAGTGAAGATAACATGAGAAACTTCAATGCTTAAATTGCTAAGTATGCAAAAAGATCAATTCAAGCTCTCAAAAGCATGTAAAAAAGTTTTGTCACAAATTTCCTAAGTTTTACTTTCAATTATTAAAGCAGTGTTTCTAACTTTATTTACAATTTTTAAATACAAAATAAATTGCTATTTGAATTTCAAATTTACAGTACAAAATTAAAAAATTCCTTTCCGTGCAAAATACACAACACAATGCACACAATTACTTTCCAATAATATGCAGTTCTGAGTATGCAAGACATTCTGCAAAACACAGAATTCCAATTTATTATTTAACAAAACAGCAAAATCTTATTTCGATGCACCAAATACCTTTACTCAAAGAAAAGGATGCAAAAAATTTTATTCTTAACTATTTATTATTGCAGTTATTTGCAAATTCTTAGTTGTTAAATTGAGAGATATTAATACAGTAACAGCATTCAAAGGGTTAAATACTCTTGATTTCCCATAATATTTGTTGTTAAAATCCAATTAAAAAATGTATGGCTTTATCTGAAATAGCACAGCACAAATCAATGGTTCACAAATGTGTATTTAAGAAGCATGAAAGTAACTTACTCAACAAATATATCTATGTTATGTATATCTTTTAATAAATAACACCTTACAAATGTTTCCACTCCTCTTTACAACAGATTCTTATATCAATACTTGCTAAATATTCAACATATTCATTATATTATAAAATTGATCAAATGAAAAACTAAAACATTTGTTTTGTTTTTTTGCTGGCAAACAGCTTGGCTTTCCAAGGATGACTGAAATGAAAATGTATATATCATGAAGTTTTACAAATATCTGTGTGATACATTGTTTCCGATGTTAAGAACTACAAAGTATAAACAAACAGAAAATTCATATTCAGCTCACGGTAATTTCATAACACATATTTAGCTTTCCAATGGAAATTTACTTCAAAGAAATAGATTTTCAAAATATATGATTTATTATTAACACTTATTTTTTAAAAATTCTTATAATAATTACATAATGTATATGCAACTGTTATAAAAACCCTATGTTGTTATAACAGTATATGAAGAAAAATGCTTAATGTTGTTCAGGTAACAATCACCGGTAAAGTAAAAAAGAACAAAACAAATACATAAATTATATGTTCACATATATAAATTGGGCATATGTGTTATGCATATATTTCACACAGACACAGAGATATGTTTGTGTGTATTTTTTAGGAAAATTATATATACTCTGCAGCAACTCTTCAGTTAATAATATTTAAAATTATTTTAACAAGTGACTGGAAGACATCATAACTCAAATAGCTATAAAATTATAAAAAGGACTTAAGAAGGAAAGAATAATGCATTTACTCTTTGAAAACTAGCTCAGACAGCTGAAATATATCTAAGAAATCTTAAATTCACATTATAGCATAAAAGAAATATTTCCATTATCAATATGAAGACAGCTGTGTTGAATGCACTATCAACAAAGCCTGACAAATAACAATCCAAATGAAAAGCGAGCTTTTTATGAATAAGGCAGTTCATACTGACTGAGTATACTTAAAAAAGGAATTCGATCTGTCAAAATATTTCAATATGAGCACCTATTTAAAAGCTCTAGATGGTACTCAGTGGGATAAAAGGCATGAACACAGATTGAATAACTACAACTGTCTCTAGGAAAATCTGTGTTTTTAAAGTCTTATTCCTTGGATTGATAAAACAGAATGTATCCTGACTCAGATGTCTTCTGCGTATCAGATGTAAGCCCATAAAAGTCTTCAATAGCAGATGCATCGATTTTCTAAAGAAATGCAAAAAAATTACAATCATTTTAGCCCTTTAAACTAATTCAATTCACTACAATAATACAGTAATAAAAGAAATTTAAATGACAAACTATTACTTCCTAATATGAATTTTTAAATGAAATACTCTACAGATCCCCCATTTCTTGAAATTCTTCATTGACACTTTAAATTATTTTTATGCCCCATATTTTACAATCTAACCCTTTACCTTTAATAAACAAGTGGCAATACAAGTCAACAAAAAATAACAAATATGATCTGAAAAACAATAATTCATTTATTACATTGAAATTAATGATGCATTAAGTGAACATGGCAAATCTTTTTTAAAAATTCGTAATTAAATTATCAGCATATTTAAAGTTGCCATTCAGTAAATTTCTCTACTTCACACATTCTGCAGGTTTATCTAATGGCTAGAATTGCATAAAATTCAGACTGAATTAGTTAAGAAATAATGAAAAACTTTGAGGCAAACCTGAATCCAAAGTTGAATCATTTTCAGTGTTAATAATCCCATTAAAATAAATATGGGCTTCATCTGCTTGCATACTATTCTAATGTCATAAATATCAATACTTATTCTGGTGATAAACATATGGTAAATTTCTTTTAACCAAATCTTGTCTGTGCACCTATCTGTGGTGGGCCTTATGAGGACATAATTTAATAACCTTTCATAGAATTTTCCCATGTTGTCGAATATGGCATACCTACCCTTGTTCTATTTGCATTCCATACCTGCCAACCTCTAAAGGTAAAAATTCAGAAGATATCTGCCCCAAATTCAGAAGATTTCTCCAAAATTCAGAAGAACACAAAGAATTAATATCATGCTTTGATATTAAAAAAATAACAATTTGTACAAATAGAAAAAAGAAAATTGTACTTGCATTAGTAAATCTCAATTAAGTAGTAACTAAAAAATTTATTAGGAAACATAAAACAAGAACTTGATGTGACACAAAAAAAATTATTGCAATGAATTTAGAGTGCATTTTTTGGCTTTAACCAAAAATTCTTTGGAAAATTTCCTGTCATAACAACTAGTTTCCTCATAACATTTAGCAATTTAAAATGTTTTCTAGAGTTTTTGGTGGAAATTGAAGAACGAAACATAGTTTTGTTTTTCTTCACAACACTGAAGACTCTCTCGCACTCAGCATTACTGTGTGGAATTACAGCTGCAGCTTTTTCTGCTGCCAAATTAATTAAGTGGCATGGGCATCCAATAACAATTAATTCATTTTGTTCTTTTTTGAGGAAAGAGGCTACACCCTTTTTGTCACCCACCATGACATGAGCATTATCTGCACCAAATGAAATGCAGTTTGATATTGGGATGTTAAGTTGTTTCAACTCATTAATTACCAAGGAGGCAATATTTTTCCCCCTAGCGTCTCCATTTAACAATGGAAGACGCAAAAGATGAGTTTTCATTCATTAGAAACATCACAGAAATATGTGACAACGATGGGGTAAAGCTTCCGATCGCTGTCGTTGCTGCCATCGATTGACACCGAAAATGCTGAATTCTGGAGTGCAGCTATCGCTTTACTTTGTGCATCGCAAGCAATTTCGTTCACAATAGAAGATGTTTTCGTGCGAGCACAAGTATATTTCTGAGCAATCTTGGAGTCGGGAAACATCCGTCTGAAAAGTTGACCGGCGTGATCGGCAGCGCTTTTTCCTTTGAAGGATTCTTTAATTGTTGGAAATTCGGCTTTGTAGGCAGGCCGAAAATATTGAGAATACGGTTTTTTTAACTCATTTCGTAACAATGACGTATTAAGAAAATTCGTAGCACGTGCAAACAAAAAACAAAACAGAATGCGACAATCCACGCTCGCTGAGTAATTCCCTTGTTGCTGAAGTGAACGCGAAAAAAATAATCTGGCGCCCACAAAGAAAAGAGTGGGAGAAACAAGTTCAGCGCATTGGATTGCCTGGTTAAACGGCGAGTTGGGAGAAACCGCAGGATACTGGATTCGAAGTAGTCGGTAGATGGTGGTTAAACACGATGCAATTGGCGAAAAATTCTAAAATTTCGACAAAAATCACTAAAAAACACTTGAAAAAGGAAAAAAAATCATAAAAAATGGATTACGATTGTAAAATCGTAAAGACAAACGCATTTTCGTAAAAATTACGAAAAATTCGTAAAAGTTGGCAGGTATGGCATTCCCAAAATGCAATTGAATGATCTGTTTGTTCACAGTGCAGAACCTCTTTTCCCTTTTTTAAATTATTATACAATATGTCAATGTCTTTTTTGTGGATCTAACAGCAAATGATCCCACTTAATTAAATCAAACAACCAGTTTAGCAGCAAGATTTAACAAAAACACAATAAAAAGAAAGTTTTCTTCAAACTTCAACAGCATCTAATTACATAAAATACAGTTACTGCACTGTGCATATTGTGGTGAATTAACTTGACAATACTTGATCTAGTTAGATATGAGACTAAACTGTTCAAGTATAGCTTTCAAAAGTGGGAAATTTATGGCCATCCAACACTTTACAATTTGCTTTAAAAGACATTTTAAATAGTAGTTTATTATTTCACATGCCATAACACTTAAAAGGCCTTTCTTTTTTTTAATTTAACTTGATTTTTTAGGAGCAGAAAGCTTAAGTTTAATCACTTAATTCACAATATCAATATAAATTACAATGCAAAATTCAATGATACAAGAAAATAAAATCAATACTTTAGTGATAAATTATTAAATTTACAAATTGGGGACGTTTTACAAATTTGTTAGTAACACCATTTTTTGACGTTCTACTGCCTGTTATTGAACTGTAATATCCTAACATGATTCACCATGTTCTGCCAGAACGTTCTATTAGAACTTTAGAAGAACATTCATAGAACATTATAAAAAAGTGATTGGTTATTCAGTCAAACATTACAGTGTAAAAATACGGAAAAGTGACATGCAGCAAATAATTCTGGAGACAATCAGAGGTAAGCCGCTCACAAGCACTTGTTGCACATATGCAATTATGAAGTCTTGCCAAGAAGTATGATGAAAAAAAGCATATGCAAATTGCTATTAGTATATCTACTGAATATACATAGGAAAATAAGTTGATAATTTAATGACTGGTGCCATTGCTCCCAATGTCTGTCTTAAAATTAAAGAGAAGATTAAAAGGAAGAGAACAGCTATTGATCAGGAGAAAGTGCAAATAATCTCAATACAATGAAGAAAGAATATCACAGCCCTGCCTTATAATGGAAATGCCAAAATCTAAGACACGTCACACAGTTCAAGAAAAAGATATATGGTGACATACCTCTCTGCCAGAACAAGAAAGACTAAATATAAGAATCAAGTGGAACAACTACAATTCCTTTTGACAAGTCTATATACATGAATCTCAAACATCAAGCAAGGCCACTGATAAACCCGAGATTGGCCAGTCCTAAAGCACAAGCAGCCTGCTCATCATAGATCTTAATATGTGCTACAGGAAATATTCCAAGAAATTGGTAACATTACCAAATCAGGCCAAAGCTGCTTAATGGGAAATAGTGAAAATGCTTGTCTACAGACACATCCTCAATTCACTTTTGGCTAGACAGACGGGGTTACAGACAAAAACATCCCACAGAAAAGAACACCAGGCAAAAACGTCATGGTACAAAACATCGTGGGAGAAAAGAAAGCACAGAGAAAACATTGCAGTTCTAAAACATCATAGGGCAAAATATGCAAAATATATATTGAAAATAAAGCAGTTAAAAAACTTTGCAGTTTAAAAACATCGTCATCGAAAATATCATGGTAAAAAATAAAGTACTTACAAATCATCACATGACAATAACATTGCACACATGCTCTTTACAGGTTTTAAAAGTTGGAAATGCATTTTTGCATGATTTTAGAGCACAAGAAGGAAAGAGGGTCTAGAGGTAACCGCATGCAGTTGTTTTCCACACAACAAGCAGACGCCAACAGTATGTTTCTTTATGCATCACTGAAGCAGAGTGTGTTGAGCTAGCGAACCAAAGATGTAATATGGCTGAAGTGGTTATTTAAAGACATAGCTCCTCTGAAAGTAACCCTATCACTACCGATTGACAATGCAAGTGCTGTTCATCTGACTAAAAACCCAGAATATCATCAAAGAACTAAACATAGATGTTGGGTATCGCTTTGTACGTGATAAAGTTCTAAATGGTGAGCTCCATGCTCATTATATCTCTGGTAATGAACAACTTACTGATATTTTTACAAATCTACTGTCGAGGAAGCGTTTTGAAACTCAAAGAGCTGCTCTTGGTATCATGAACATTAATTTATAAATCGAGTTCTAGGGAAAGTGTTAATATTGTGAACTTGAATTTATCTAATGCATTTATTTTATATTGTTTCTCTCAAACGTGTTTTAACTTTTTCTTATATTAATATTTGTTCACATGTGCAATGTCTGATTTTTGATTTGGCAACATTCTACTGTAGTTAAGAAACACTGTTCTAAAGAATGTAATGTTATTACTTGTCAGCACTTTGCACATTGTAAAAGGCAATAAATGCTTTCCTGGTTGTTCAATGTTAAATAAATTAAATTTTATATAGCTCTGCATCACTGGATAATACTTTAAGAGTTTTCATTTGCGATGTTTTCACCAGACACTGATTGCAGGACACTGTAACTTTTCTAATGTAAGGTGCATAGCCAAAATGATCGAGTAGGCAACTAACCATAGTATGATACCATGCTAGTAATATGCTACTACACATCTTTGGCAGTGTCTGCCCTGAAGAAAATATTCTTCCACTCTACAGAAGGCTTTTCTTGGATTGCATCATATATTAGCTCACTTTCAAGAATTGTAAAGCTCTGGCACTGAGAGCTCAGCATTTCCTCAAAATTATGGATTTCCAGTAATTGGCCAATTATGTTTCAGCTAAGTATGAGATTTAACACACTTACCTAGCATGTGTGGCATGCTGTAAAGAGGGCTAGTGCAGCATGTCAGTCCTTTCGTAAGGAACATTCAACTGAGTTCTACCTCCAATTCGGCGAGGCAGTTAATGCTTGTCCCATGTGAACGGGACACGTTGGAAGAACTGGTTTCCGCTACCGGTCGAATCTGCTTTTGTGAACGGGGCTTTAGTATCATCCATGGATTAAATTCATTCCTGATAGAATAGTGGAATTTATTGTGTCTTAATCTCACCACTGGCATGACGACTTGCTGAAAGTACTTATAATGATTAAAGTTGGTCATATTCCCTATTAGCCCTTTTTTTTTTTAATGAAAAATCTGCCACACTATCTTTACAATACTTTATGCAAAATATTTATGTTAAATATTTTGTAACTTTGTATTATAGTAATTCATGGCATCATATATAATGCATCTTTATAGTAAACTTCATAAACATATTAAAGTATTTTTTAAATCATCAGTTTGTGTTAATTAGTATTTATAAATTAGTATAAACTATGAAAAGTTAGTGGCCTTCCATGGTTTTATCCTTTAACAGTATTAAAAAGAAATATAATAACCCATATTTTAAACAATTTTTAATATTTATGAATACTCATTACCCAGCTCTCAGACAAAACTTACACAAAAATAATTTTAACATAAGCAAGAACAAAAATGATTAATAGTTTAAATGACAACTAAAAGTGGAAAGCAGATAACTTTAATGCCATGGATGAAACCAGACAAAGAAGCTAAGCAATAAGCAGTAATTAAGTCTTTGTATCAATTCCATAATTTAATCACTAGAATACTGTGATTAGCGGCAGAAATTTTTACTGACCTGAAAACACAGCCTAAATGCTAATAGTTTTCAATTCCTTTTTAAATTGTAAATGACAAAATTTTTAATGTGCTTTTAATAAAATATGAAGAGATTATTTTCAATATGGAGACAATATAGACTAAGAGACTGACACTAACCCACATACATACCCACCCCCACCGCACACAAAATCTGAAAAACATTACTATCCATGCTTATTTCCCACATAATTTACATAATAATGCGTTATTTAATTTTCTTTACATAATTTTGAAGAACAAAACCTCCAGTAATCGTACAAGTAATTTCATATATAATGATTTCCTACTTACATCTACAATGTCATCATCAAAGAGTAACCATAAGCCATGGCTCTTAACAATGGAAATATAATGCCCTCTGTTGGGGCCACTTCCACAATGTATAACAACAGCGACCAAATCATAAAGGCGATCAGGATTATATGCATCATCAGACTGCAAGAAAACAATGATACAGAATACATTAATTATTATTCATTCTATTTTTAATAAAATAAAATTCAGCGGGAAAAATTACTTACTGTGTTAAATAACCTCAACTCAAGAGGGAAGACAACACGATAAGATAGTTTTGTGTGCCTATTTTGTTGTTCCATGTACTTGAATCTCTTCAAATGCAAAGCCAAAATCATAGGTAGCTTTTTCACCCGCATTCTTTAAAAAAGAACATTTATAAGAACTTTAAACATTCACAACTCATTAGTAAGTCTAAATAGGGAAAAAAAAAAAAAAAAAAAAAAAAAAAAAAAAAAAAAATTGATATAAAATGCTGAACTTAGTTTTACATATTGTTAGAATTGTAAGTAAAATGTAACAGGAATAACACACAGTCCATTCACATTAGTGTGATCACCGCCTACTTTCAGCATTTCACCTGAGAAAACGAATCACAGAAGGCAGGTGGCAGCACTAGCAGCAGAGGATATATAAATGGTGTCAAAAGGAAGCAGAGAAGTCATTTATGTATGTAATGCAGAAATGGAGCAATTTATCTGACGTCAAAACGGGCATGGTCATTGGTGGTCAAGGGTGGAAGCATTTCCAAAACAGATGATTCTGCAAATCGTCCACATGCTGTTGTGGTGAAAATATAATGTGTATGGCAAAAAGGCACTATCCAAAATCAGCAACATGGCAAATATAATGCATCATGGGCCATAAACAACAGAGGTGAACGACGGCTGCCGAAATGCATTCAGGTGAATAGACATGTTACTGTTAAGCAACTGACCATTCAGATGAACTAAGGGGCTACCAACAGTATGTCCTCCACAGCAATTTAGAAAACATTGCTGTATATGGGCTTCTGCAGCAAACGCTTGGTTTATGCACTTATGCTGACTGAGAGTCGTTTCCTCCGACTGAGCTCTTGGAGACATAGCAGAATTTTTTCAGCGCATCATTAGAACATCTAGACCTTCTTGGACCACGGTGAGATGGTGTTCGTATTTAGCAACCAAATCCGAAATCCTGAGCAGTGCATTATAATAGGTTTGTGCGCTTAGTCGCACATATCACGATTCATGGATAATGGATTAATTGATCCATCTTATTTTATGAAGAATTCCTCCAAAGACGATCTTGAAGAGGGCACTCCGTTATGGAGATTATTTTGTGTTATGGAGTTACAGCATTTAATCACGGATCTAAATAAGAAAAGCAAACTTACATTCAAAGACATGAAAAACCTTAAAACCTACCAAGCTCATTTTGAAGAAAGCCAGACACTTCTTTCAAATTTCATCATTACAGATGACAAAGAACCAGATAAGCAATAACAGATTGAAAATAATAGTGAATCAAAAGATATGATAAACGAAAATGTTAGCAAACCAAAAGATATGATAAAAGAAAATCTAAATGAGCCAAATAACACGACAAAAGAAAGCAAATGAAAACCATTCCTATAAAGAAGCACTCGCATAATGCTGATCTCACAAGAGATAATAATGCCATGGAAGAAACTTTAAACAATTCTTTCAACAAACTTAAACCACAAGAAAACAATGATAATACAAATAATGATTACTATCCCACTTCAAATCAAAATCAGGCTACCAATGCTTAACTCAGGAAAATTAAAATACCACCTATAGTCATTACTGACACTAAATGCAACTGGAAACAACTTGTACATGAAATTAAAGAATTAGGACTTAACAAAATAGAGAGGAAAACTGAAGATGATTCTTTAAAAACTCAAAATATTCGAAAATCCAAACTAAATTGATAAAAGAAAACATATCCTTTCATACCTAACTACTCAATCCTGAGAAATGCTTACAAATCATTATAAAAGGTCTCTCAGGAGATATCACAGCACTGGATATTGAAGAACTTTAGCAAATTGATATTCCATTCCTTAAATTCAAAGAATGAGCGATGGAGTGGCTATGCTTCTCCCAGTTTATTATGTAGAATTACCCAGAACACCGAAGAGAAAACGCATCTGCGATGTTCATTACTTATGCGACATGAAAATTAAAACAGCTTCATATAAAATAGCACACCAGGGCCAGTGCAGTGCTTTAAATGCCAGCATTACAGCCATATACAGAAGGCATGCAGAGACAACCCTAGATGTGTGGCAGATAACCTGATTCACACTAATCTTATGAGTGCACCATCAAAACTCAAAAGGAAGTACCAGCAACTTGTATCCTATATAATGAACAACACACAGACTGTGATATTACCTGTTCCGAAAGGCCAGGCAACAATAAAAAAGCCTGAAAATCCAAAAAGCAGATATTATCACATAAAAAGAAATATTCCAGAACCAACAAATGAAAATAAAACTACATCTTTCAGATCTTATGGTGCAGTAACAGCAGGCACTACTAAAAGTAATGCTAAAAACAATCAAAATGGAGAAAATCAAAATCCCGATGAAAGCTTTGAAGAATTGACTGAATTTATCACCAACATATATGATTTACACCAAGAGTATAAAAATAATAATAGCAAACTAAGCACTGCACTGGCCACTGTAAAGATGTTTGTAAATAGAGATCATATAAATACACTTCTGATGAGACAAGACATAGCTAAGCAGTAGAGTACAGGCATAGATCTTGTTACCTTTTAGGTAGCGAGTTGATCCTCACATGTACTGTAAGGCAACTGTTTTTAATACAGTCAAATACCGAAAATCCGCCGACCTGAAATCTGCCAGCTCCTGAAATCCGCGTTGCCTCTCAGAATATAAACATTCAGTTTATAGGTTCTGGAAACCTCAACATTGAGTATGAAATATTGAAGAAAAAAATACTTGCCAAATAAATAAATGACGTCATAATTACCGAGTAATAATGAGTTAAAACGGAAATACCAAATTATTCACATAAAAAAGTTAAAAAAAATAAGATAAAATAAATATTTTTTCTCCCCTTTAACCTGCATCGAGGTAAAAAAGCAGACGATTCAGTCAACTCTTTGTTCAAGTTCATGATTCATGTTGTATTTTCTGAGCTTTGTTATTTCATTTCGCGAGATTGTTTAGTGCCAGGACTTAAAAGAGAAGGGCTAGCTCATAGAGCTTTTTTTCCTGAAACAGGCAGCGGGGAGTGATGACGTAGCCATAATGACACTGAACGCGGAGATGCAATTGACAACATAAAAATTAGTGTTTTAAATTTGAAGAATCAGCGTTTAAAATGAGCTGTGTGTGAAAGACAGTTATCATTTAGAAGAGACAATGTTACTGTAGTATGCGTTTTACACTGAACATTAAAAAATTTTAATTTAATAAATTTTAAAATAACAAATAAATACGCTACTCTTAACATAAAGTTCCTTTTTTTTTAATTTGCAGGGATTGTTTTTTTTTAAATGCCTGTTATTTCTAATAATTTCTTTATCTGAGATTTAATTAAAAGAGACTCTACTACTGCTTCTAAGATAACTATAATAACAGCTTTAAAATTAATCAAAAAACAACCTTAAATTGTCATAATTTTAAACATGTACGGTTATATATGGCAAAATTTTTGCTAATCTTGAGTTTCAGCCTAGTTGTAAATTTTACATTGGCATATTTTTTTCCTGATTCAATATAATAACATATATATTTTTTTAAATAATTTTGTAACTTAGGCTTACATATCAATATTACATTTAAATAAATACATGTAAGATTGTTATCTTAATTTAGACAATACAACTTTACTCACAGTACCTAAAAAAAAAAAAAATTATTTAATTTTTCAAAAGGTGGGGGTCAAGGAGGCAGGTCTTCTTATGCCAGTTACTTTAATGTTATATATTATATTTATCTAGAATGCTAAGCTAGCACAACATCGAATCAATAAATAACACAGGATACAATAAAAAAAACTTTAACAATAACTTAACAAAATTAGTTCTCATTTGAAATATGCTTTACGCTATTAACTTCTAAAATGTCATCTACAAATACTTCAAATCAAAACATATTATATGTGCTTTCTTGTACAGTCACAATGCAACTACCTCTGCAAAATAAACGAATTGCTTCTCTGTTAACTTCAGGATAATGGTTCTCCAATTTATTAATTAAAGAGCCAGTTACATGCTTCCCTTTATAGTAATTTATACCATGAACTGCACAAAATATGTTTCCGAACTCGTAAACTGTATTCATCCATGAATGGGAAGGTAGTCATGAAGTGTACCTCAAACTATTACTAAGTCCAATATTTTAATTAGAATGAATAATTTAATCCATTCTGAATTAAAATATTGGTTCATCAGCACTATTTTTAGATTATTGTTCCCAATGATGGGTCTTTGTCTCGCACACGGTAGGCAATATAACCTGTAACATATGTTAATGCTTCTCGTTTTCGGCGGTCGAAATTTGTCTGGCGGAATTCAATTCTAATTCCCGAGATATAGGAGAAGGTTCCATAGGAAAAAGTGGAAGCCATAAGAAAAAGCGGTTTTCTCAGTAATTTGAAGCAGTGCGCTAAATCTGCAAAAACCCATATTTTTTTTCGTTTGCAATACTGTATTTGGAAACTGAGAACTATTAATCGAAATCTGTAACTCTTTCCACAAAGTACTAGATCATCCTAAATCAGACACTATTGCTTTCCTTCTACTCCAGATGATGTGTTTGCGTGTGTGATTATGGCAAAGCCTCGAGGGCTATCTGCCTAAGGGAAGGGATGCCCTTCGTGGAGGACTTTCTAAGGGAAACTGGCTCGTATACACGTTACACATGGGGGAAAACCACGAAAACGCCCATGCAGCCAGCCCGTTCGCGGGATTCGAACCTCGGACCGAACTACCAGTGTTCAGCGACTTTTCCGCCCGGCCGCTGGTGGGCCCAGATGATTGAATATGTCTTTTTCATTCGAGTGTTAAAATAAAAAAATATTGGTTGTTTCCACTGCGAAATGAGACCTCTGATTAAACCAAACTGCACTTTTTGAAAAAAGGACCGAGAATTTGGTCCAGTTTAGAGTCATAGCTAAGTTTAGAATCTATATGCATTTTCGTCGAAACCGAGAACGCATATTTTTTCTACAGAGTTTAAATATTCGCATCGTTCCTTCATTACAGGAAGAACATCACTCTGAATTCTTGAACTACATGAAATTTAGTGCACCATCTCCTTAATATGGTAGTGCTAGGTAAAGGAATTCCTATTTTTCTTACCAAAATTGTTCCTT